TCCACAAGTCCCGAGCTTATGCAGCCGAGCAGCTCCGAGATAGCTGCCTACACAGCGCATCAACCTTGCAATCAGGTCAACAGGTTCAAGAACATGAAAGGCGCCTTGCACATCCGAATACTTCGTTCAAGCTAACTCAACACCTTCCTGACATGGCCCCATCAAGCTTGTTAAGCTGGCCCTGTGTCCAGCGAACGCCGACGCGCAAAGTTAAGCTCACCTATGGACTTTCCTCAATCAGCCCGGCAGCTCAGGGCCCAGATCTTCCAAGCAACCTGACGCAGGGTCCTGGTCGCAAAGGCTTCTCAGGCTGTCAACAGGCTTTCGGCTAGTCTCATTTGTGAGCTTGGATATCTGAGCTCTAGAGACTCTAGTGTTGTCTGGGAGGCTGGGACATGTTGTTTCTAACCTTTCAAGTCTTGTCGGCAGCATTTCCAGATCAGGAACGGAGGGAAAGAAGGCCTACCCTGGCCGCCCGCGCGCACATTTCCAGAAAGCTTCTTTACTTGTCTTTCGTGGCTCCATGTCCAAGATCTTCTGCTCCGACGCAACACGAAGGACATGCCGCACGAAACGCGCAGCAATTCCAGCCCCATCAAAGCTGACATTTCTGCTGCGCTTGGCATGTGAAAATACCGGTCAAGTTCGGCTGCAAGCTGCGGCTGGGACGCAATCAGCATGAACAAACTGGAAACACCGTGACAGAACCAGGCTCAAGAGCTACACCGTGGCACAAACGAGTTGCAGGGCCACCCTGTGCCTCGACATCTGCTTGGGCCTGGTCGAACGAAAGCTGCCGCAGCTCTTCCACAACAACCTGGGGAGGTCTGGCTGGTCTGGCACACCCATAAACACAACTTACGGTCATTAATGCTACTACTGCTACGATAACTACAGGAAGGTTCTGGAACCGAACCGGAACCGCACGAACCGAACCGCCACGAACCGAACCGCCAAAACCGGCCAGCAAACACGAACCGTAGGAACCGCGAACCGCAAGCGAACCGAAAACCGGAACCGTTTCGACAGCGAACCGGTTTCGGCCAGGAGCCCAAGTCAAATAGAGCATGATACTGAAAGGTTTGGGTCCCTCCAAACTTGTTTTGAAACAATCAAACTGTCGCAAAAACATGACTCGGTTCTCGGCTAACCCTCCAAAATTGAAGGGTCTTGGAGGTGCAAGGCTTGAAGATATCATGGTTCTATCCGGATTTTCAGGGCCTAGAATCAAGTTTTGGCCCCTTGAAACTCGTCATTGGAGATGCGCACAGAGCCCAAACATTTCTGTCACGATTGGAGTGAAGAGGTTTTGTCGAGGTTTCGAGGTCCTTAAATACCTATATTGCATGGTCTCGGGGGCCAGAAAAATGATTCCCATCACCTGACCTTTCTACTAATTCGGGGTACGCAGGGCAGGTTTCCAGGTTTGGACCTCCCAAAACGTGCAGATTTCCAGGTTTGGACCCCCCAAACGTGCAGGTTTCCAGGTTTGGACCTCCCAAAACGTGCAGGTTTCCAGGTTTGGACCCCCTAAACGTGCAGGTTTCCAGGTTTCCAGGCTTGGGCCCCCCCAAACGTGCAGGTTTCCAAACGTGCAGGTTTCCAGGTTTGAACCCGCCAAAACGTGCAGGTTTCCAGCTTTCAACCCCCCAAAACGTTGACATTTCCAGGTATGGACCCCCCAAAACGTGCAGAATTCCAGGTTTGGACGCCCCAAACGTGCAGGCTTCCAGGTTTGGACCCCCCCAAAACGTTGACGTTTCCAGGTTTGAGCCCCTTAAAACGTGCAGGTTTCCAAGTTTGGACCCGAAAAACGTGCAGGTCCAGGTTTGGACCCCCAAAACGTGCACGTTTGCAGGTTTGGACCCTCCCAAACGTGCAGGTTTGCACATTTTGGGGGCCAAACCTGGAAACCTGCACGTTTTGGGGGTCCAAACCTGGAAACTGCGTTTGGGGGATCCAAACCTGGAAACCTGCATGTTTTGGGGGGTCCAAACCTGGAAACCTGCACGTTTTGGGGGGTCCAAACCTCGAAACCTGCACGTTTGGGGGGTCCAAACCTGCACGTTTTTCGGGTCCAAACTTGGAAACCTGCACGTTTTAAGGGGCTCAAACCTGGAAACGAGGGGTGTCCAAACCTGGAAACCTGCACGTTTGGGGGGTCCAAACCTGGAAACCTGCAGTTCGCATGGGCCACGTGAACGGAGGCTGGCTTTAGTTCGCATGGCCAGGGCCATGTGAACGGAGCCTACCCACAGTTCGCATGGCCTTCAGTTCGCATGGGCGGCCATGTGAACGGAGCCTACCTTCAGTTCGCATGGCCAGGCCCATTGGATCCAGGGTCTCCGAAAAGCCACCAAAAGCCACGTTTGGGGGCTCCAAACCTGGAAACCTGCACGTTTTGGGGGGTCCAAACCGTCAACGTTTTGGTGGGTCCAAACCTTGGAAACTGCACGTTTTGGGGTGTCCAAACCTGGAAACCTGCACGTTTTGGCAGGTCCAAACCTGGAAACCTGCAGGTCCAAAACCTGGAAAGCTGCACGTTTTGGGGGGTCCAAACCTGGAAACGTCAACGTTTTGGGGGGTCCAAACCTGGAAACCTGCACGTTTTGGGACCTGGAAACCTGCACGTTTAGGGGGTCCAAACCTGGAAACGTCAACGTTTTGGGGGGTCGAAACCTACGGCAGGATTCCAGGTTTTGGACCCCCAAACGTGCAGGTGTGCAGGTTTCCAGGTTTGGACCTGCCAAAACGTGCAGGTTTCCAGGTTTGGACCCCCCCAAAACGTGCAGGTTTCCAGGTTTGGACCCCCCAAACGTGCAGGTTTGCAGGTTTGCAGGTTGGACCCCCCCCAAACGTGCAGGTTTCCAGGTTTGGACCCCCCAAAACGTGCAGGTTTCCAGATTTGGACCCCCCCAAAACGTGCAGGTTTCCAGGTTTGGACCCCCAAAACGTGCAGGTTTCCAGGTTCAAACGTGTGTGCAGGTTTCCAGGTTTGGCCCCTAAACGTGCAGGTTTCCAGGTT